GCTGCGCCTGGCCTCCGTCGTCCCCGGGATCCATAAGGTCCCCGCTCTGGCCGTCCGCTCGGCCAGCCTCCTCGTCCACGGTAAAGGTGCCCTGTCGCTGTAGGGGACTGACGCCGCTCACGCCGCTGACGGGGGCCTGGCGGGCTCGTACACTCCGGCCGGTCGCCGTCGACTCATCCTTCGTGGCGGGCCTGCGTGGGGCAGCAGTTCCCCGGGCCTCCGTCAGCTTCCGCGCGCTTCTTCTGCTCTGCTCCCTGCGGACCAGTGTGAGAGGTCAAGCGAGGTCAGGTCAACAAGTGCACTAACGGTGCTAGCGTGGGTGTGGGTACATAATGAATGTACCGAAATACCGAAAATGCCAGGTGGAGCTTCCCCGCTCACCTCTCAGCGAACCGGATGCGCAGGGCCTCCCTCCTCGAGGCGTTCTCCTTGTGCTCCACCGGGATGAAGATCTGTTCCGAGCCACTGCCGACGTCCTCCTTCGTGAACGTGCCCTGCCTGACGAGGCCGCCCACAGCGGCCGCCGCGTCGTCCTGGACCACGAAGCAGCGCTTCTCGGCCTGCTGTCCGCTGTCCGGGGAGGCCGTCCTCTTGCAGGCTCGCGCAGCCGCGGGGCTCTCCATCTCCATCGAGGATCGCTCCACCTGCGGCACAAACAAAGAGGTGCATCGTAAATAAAACCAGAACAGATTTAGGGATTCTGGGAAAGTTCAAAGTTTCCCGGGAAAAACGTTTTTTTTTTTTTTTGCCGTTATTTCTTCGTGCAACTTTAAGGGAAACGGGAAAAATGAGGGACTTTTTTTTTAACCCTTCAATCCCTATGCGATGTGGAATGCCCACCCACCGTTCGCTGAGCGGCGCTACCCCACGCCGCGCCGGGGCAGCCCGCGCAGCCGCCGTGACGAATGGGGCGGCAAGCATAAACACCTGACCGGGGGGCAAGTGGAGCAGCGAGGGCGGGCTATTTTGAACTGCAGTGTCCATCATATTGCTCGCTTATTTGCAATATTAAACAGGAAATGAGAAAAAACAAGTGCACAGTATCCGGCGCTACGCTGCCAAATTTCAAATTTCTCATACCATAGCTTAGATTCTATCCATGTCCACCAACTTCATGTCCTTCACGCTCAGCCAAGTGCAAGCAGGGGGTGAGGATCTTGACCCTTGTCTCGGTAACGAGCAGTCTAGACGCCCACCCTCGCCGAGAAGTGCACAGGCTGCGACCGCCCGTCAGGCCTCTTATTATTTATTTTTTCTGTCGGCCTTTCCACCGTGCACTGCCTGGGAATTCTCTGGGAATGCACATACTAAATGTGTAATGCACAAACACGAAATATATTCCGATCATAATATAACTTTGTAGCAATTTGGGTTCAATAGTTTTGGTTGCAAATATTTGCGGTGCCGCAGTCTGGCTGGTGCGCGCGGCTGGTGTTTACAGCAACCGTCTAACGCCTCTCCACGTCCGGACCAGGCGCGAGGCTTAGGCAAAACACAGCGGCGCGAAAATGGGTTGCAAAAGATGTATACGCCACACTGTAAAAAGATGACCAATAAATACTGCACGGAAATATTTTTTTATCTGGTACGTATAGCCAAAGTGTTGGCTACCGGGTGGACAGGCAACCGAGGCAACGAGTAACTTGGAGTAATTGGAGTAACTTGATTGGTTGTGAGAGTTGAACATTGGTTGTGCGACTGTGCGTGGCGTTAAAAAATAAGATCAAGGCAGAATTGTGTACAGTGTTGGCTGGTCGAAGGAAGTTAAGGGTGAGGAGTGGGGGAGAGTGACGTAGAGATCAGTGTCAGCGCCTAGGGGCCTACTGACCAGAACACTACAACTAAAGCTGCTGCAGTCGCAAACGTGTCTATTTTGGTCCGGCTGAGACGTCCAACTGAAAATCTTTTTCCCCAACCCCCTTCTCATTCCACTCCCCCTCTTTCTCTCTCGCACACACTCTCTGTTTCTCTCTGCCGAACATGAATTCCTTTTCACTTGTCTTGGCATTCGCCAGACGACAGAGACGCCTTGTGCTCAACATCCCACTGTCGAGGAGCAATGGGACATGGGCGTGGACATAGAAAAGGGATACAACATCTTTGGTCCACACCACGTCCACACACTCGATAAGCCATCCTTCTTAATGCCAAGCTGAACGAAATTCGTGCACAGACACAGCATCTCCCCCCCCCCCTCAATTCCACCGCCCTCACTGACGCTCTTGATGTGCTTCAATTAGGGAAGTGACGTAGCTCAGTCCGGCTGGTGTGTACGTACGCGCTCAGCGGCCAGGACAGGCCCCGACCATTGCATGCAGTGGTGTGTGTCATATTGTTAACATTGCTTAAACATTATATTTACAAAGCAATTGCATATTACTTTAGGGAATGAAGATAATTATTTCGGTCAAGTAAAAATGAAATGCCCCTCGTCTCATTACTCGGGCACAGTTTTAGGTTTTTTCAAGTCAACGACATGCCTTTGCCTATAAGGTGGGGGCATAGGTCTTCTCTCCCTCATTATCCCTGCTACAAGTTTGACGCTGCATGTGCAGGTGGGGTTTGCAAGGGACGCGCAGCGACGCATGTTTGATACGGCGTGACTCTGTCGCCGGGGAATCTGGGTCGGTGCCAGCCAAGTCTGTCGCGTGGTGATTTTCGGCCCGACCGCCGGCCTTCCCCGCCCCGCCCCGTCACAGCACCGGCCACACTCGCGCACGGTAGGCTGCTGCGTTTGCAAACAAGAGGAGTCACACAGGATAACGATACGGTGTCTGGCGCCATTGTGTTTCTGTTCTATTGCATTGGCTTTCAAATTAAGACCTGGCGATTATATTTGTCTCGGCAGTCGAGCGGAGAAACAACACGAGTCATTATGGGGCGACGTGATGTGAGACGCCAGACGCCTTCTTTACCTTTCGTAATTAAGTGGAAAATGAAGAGACCGACTAGCACTAGGGGAACAACGCACATTGATAAAGAAATCAATATTACATCTTTAGGCGCTCACGGTGACGGCAAAATGGTCCATTACACCAATAAGCCCCTGTCTTCCTTAGCTCTATGTGCAGTGTAAGCATACTAAGTAATGCTTACTCGGATCTATTTTTAGCAAGCACGTAATAATTGAGAGTGTACGACAGTGAAACCAAAAACTGTCGAAATGGCCCGGCGGACTATCCCTGCCTGGTGTCGAGGCCTTCTCTTTGAAGCTGCCAGCAGGTGAGGGCGCAGTGAAAGTAAATTACAAACTCGCGCCCTTCGCCGCTTGGACAGCACCCAACGCACCAGATGCACTCA